AATTGATTTCGTTTCAATTCTATTTTTGGTATTTGTGTGCTTCCGCTGTGCAATTTCCTCATCCGGTTTGGTGTGGATTTTCTCTCTCCAAGTCTACTTGCAATTTCGCATGTGTATGGGGACATGTGTATGCTATGCTGGATTCGTTTTCAATCAGGCACATAACAGTTGGTATCGGAGCCACGACCGCGTGCATCTGCGGAACGAATTGATTGGCCATCAACTATCTGGCCGGCGGTTGGCGGTTTGGGGCGGTGCCCCGCTATCTTCAACGTTGACGGCGGTGATAGTTGCTGAATGATTGGTGCGCATCGGCGAGAAAAAGAAAAAGAAAAAAAAGAAAGAAAAAAAAAAAAGAAAGTGGAGCAGTTCCCTGAGCAGACGTCGGCGGTATTTGACTAGGACGTCAACCCTAATCAGCATCGCTGTTTGACTTGAGGGTTTCGCGGCCCTCAACTGACAGGCACTGCCTGTTGGCCGTCTACGGGATTGAAGACCCCACTTGGGGAATATCAATTTGCAGCAGAATTGAGCGGCGAATCACCCGAGAAGGTGGATTGGAGGTCAGCGAGGATTTTGACGGGGCGCTGACCGACGGCGGCCAGGCCCCTTTATCTCGGTCGATGGTTTGACCGGCAAACTTCTCCAATCAAGACCTTGATTGAGTGAGTTCGTTCTGACGACCAGTTCCCTTGACGTCAGTCCGTCGGTCTGTCAGAAATGGCTGCCAGTCTGTCAGTCGTCTAGAGGGTGCTGCCTGTTTGTCAGTCCGGTCGTCGTTGGTAGTTTTTTTTTCTAATGCGTTGACTGTTAGATTTTGCGGTTGATCGTGGTTTTGAATCTGCGTACGGTTTGGTGGCGGTCCTTGTGCTGTCGGACGGCCTAGTCCAGGTCAGTCCTTTCAGTCCTGAAAGGTCGTCCCGCTGTGTCAGAACGGTCCGCCCCATGACTCTGTCTCCGCAGTCTATCACACTCTGTTAGCCAACCGAGTGGTCGACAGCCAGCTAATTGCTGCTTGTTCTCTTTCTCTGCAAATTGAAATAAAGTTCTCCGGCAGTTTTTTTTTTCTTCTGCGTGAACTCGGAATTTCTCGCCCTGCTAATTTGTGCTGGTGTTCTAAGGAAAATCCGGAAAGGATTTAATCAGAGATTATTTTATTTTTGATTAGTTTGCTGCGTGCGGTAAAAAGGAAATCATTGGTTGATTTTGCTGCTAAACGTTACTAGCAACCTCCCTGAGCACCTACAGACACTAAGCACTAATCTGCCATCTGTCTTAACCCTTCTCTTAAGACTGAGTAAACAGTACAGCCTGATTCCGATTAGCTTGTTGTTCTGTGTGTGAACGCTAATCCAAATTTTTATTTTATTTTGGGAAAATAACACATTGGGGTATGGCTAACGGCGCAGACTATGGCGGTTCTGGGGAGGACAGAGGCAAAGGTCCCGTTATCCCCAAAACTGCCATTGAGCTGGCGATTGAGAAGGAGGAGGCGGCTGCAGAAGAAAGCCGCAAGAGAATTGAGAGATTGAAGAGAGAGAAGGCTGAGGAAGATAAAAAGGCTCAGGCAGAAGCCAGACGGGCAGTGCTGGCAGAGCATTTCTTGGGCGCTGAATCTGATGAAAGGTTCAGCGACACCAACAAGAAAATGGCTGAGTGGATCCGCTTGGAGTTCACGTCAATCAGAGATGCCCTCACTGCTTGGATGGACCGGGCTGCTGCACTAGAAGACAGCTTGACTAGAGTTAAAGCCAAGCAGTCTTCTATTGTAGAGTCACTGGATTGAATCGACCAACGTCTCACTACATCTCTTACCTCTCCCCCTGTTCACTCAGTCAAACCCGAACTCAAACCGGTCTCTGCTCCGCCTACAACACCACACTCTTCGCCCAAAGGGAAACCTGCTTCCCCAAAGCAACAGATTGTCCCTTAGGACCTGAAACTTGGCGCTGGCAGTTCAAGCCAGCAGGAGCAATGTTTCCCCAAGATGATGCAACCTGCTGGCGACGACGCCAAAGTGGACGTGTCAGATTGGATCGCTTCCATGAAGTCCTATCTGAGGGGATTCACCTGCCCAGAGGTCAACAAGGTGCAGTCCACTGTGGCCCTATTAGCGGGGTCAGCATTGAAGTGGGCGACCTCTGAGGCCACCAAGTCTCAGCAGCAGTTATCGGATTGGGCTGTTGCAGTGGGTTTAGAGACCATCTTCCAGGGCCTGGAGGCGAGGTTTGCAGATAAGGAAAAGGCCCGCAAGGCTGCAGACGAGCTGGTTAGTCTTGGCCAGACAAAGTAGAGGGGTTCCCTGGCCAAGCTCTATGCAGAATTCGAGCGTCTTACCTCTACTCCCGGTTTGGAGATGTCTGACAGGGACCAACTGACTTGGTTCATCAGGGCAGCTCCTGAGAAATATACCACGGCCCTGTATTTTGCCGGACACAAAGACTGACGATCTTTTGGCAGAGCAGCCTTGGACATGGAGGCCACCCTCCATGTCCAGTCCACTCCCCAGAAGGGAGGCAACCCCTCTTCCCAGAGTAGGAGGAAGGGAAAGGGGAATTTGTATGCCATGGAGTCTGATGATGACTTTGCAGGCACTAGCCAGGGAGGATCTACTCCCCCAGCTGGCCAGGGTGCAGGGACATCAGCAGACCAGGCTGCTCAGGTGCTGGCCCAGGCATTGCTAGCCCTCACAGGAGGCAAGCAGTTCCAGGGACAAAAGTCCTTCAGTCCTAAGGGGTCAGGCAAACGCCCCGGTGGTCCGCAACAGCAGAACCTCCCGAAGTTTGCCAAGTGCCCCGCCAGTCCTTTGGATATTTCCTCTGCTCCTTGGAGGGATCTAAGAATCCCAGAGGGCGTATGGCAAAAGAGGAAGGAAAAAGGGGTCTGTTTGAGGTGTGAGGGCAATCACTATGTCAAGGATTGCCCTAGGCTGAACCACAACAACTGCAGCCACTCAAAAAATTGAGCAGGCCAGCAGAGGCTGCAACTAGCCCTGCTGAACTGTATTCATCTCCTTCAGGAGATGAATCAGCTGCCGCGCCGGATTTTTCTGAGGCTGCGAGGGACTCAATCTACTCTTATATTGAGCCCTATCTTGATGAACCCTCGTCCGAGGAGGAGCTTGATCAGCTCTGTTCCCTTCATCTCCAGTTAAAGGAGAAGAGGAAGAAGAGATCAGAACTGATCATGCTCTTGCTTGGCTGTGGGGCTACAAGGAACTTCATTTCTCAGAATGGAGTTCAGAAACTTCATTTGGGTCTCAAGGTTACTGACCTTTATCATCCTTTGGAGATACAAATAGGGAATTCCCAATCTGTCTCAGTCAAGCAAGTCATCAAAGGAGTGCCAGTCACCTTTGATGACAAAGGGGAAATCAGACATTCCCTGAATTTCTATGTTTTTCCCCATCTTCCCTTTGATCTGGTCCTG